CCGAGGCCCTCGTCCTTTTTCCAGGGCCAGGAAGGAACCGGACGGAACCTGGATGCACACAGGCATACACTCATGTCGCTCCGCATGATCCCCCCGGGGCGACATTTGGTTCGGGCGGAACCTAGTAATTCAGCGGCTTTCGTGCGGTATGGGGTAGGGCCTGTCTTAGGTTGAGTCATGCTGGGGAGGCATGCTCTTACCCGTCATTGACTCATCTACCCTGCTATATCATAATTTTTTAGAGGAGGAGTGTGGGAAGCTCACCGTCCCTAGACTCGGTCGTAGGCTAGGCGAGCGAGCCATGCATATGCCTGAGGATCTTCTTGTCCATTTCGGGCTACCGCTATTTCTATTCATCTTGTTGGTTGGTCTGTGATGGATCTCCGGTAGGGCAGGTCTGGTCTTCAGTCGAGGGCTTTGTCGCCCGTGTCAGTCTCTCCGGTACCCACAGTGGTTCTCGTCCCGATTTCTGCAGAAAAACACAAACCGCGCCTCGGTTCCAGCTGATTACCGGATCCGGGCCCATCCATTGTCATGCCATAGATAACCGCGCCTTTGGAGGCAGGCCTTGGCTTACTCCCCCTTTTTGTTTTTTATTTTTTATTTTTTATTTTTATCTTTTTTTTTTTTTTTTTTTTTTTTTATTGGTACCAGGGATCGAACTGGCGATTGCCTGCTTACAAGGCAGGCACTTATGCCGCTGAGCTAAATCCCAGCCCCCATTTCCTCGACCGGCGTTTTTCTCAGCCTGCTCGGCAGAGAACTCTGTGTACCAGGCTCGCCAATCCAGGTAACTACCCGAGGGCAGACACGCCTTTGCCAGCTGAATCCAGTCCGCGGGGGTGAGGGGCCCAGAAGACAGGTTCTCCAGCATGGCAATGGTGTAAGGCGCAGTCGGCCCAAAGGTTGTAACTGCATTTTTAAGTTCTCTAATCTGCTTTATCTCAAAAGGCTCCCATGCATTACGTCCCTGGCCCATAGCTACTTGTACAGGAAATATCCCGTAGGGGCCACTATCTATCCCAGGTGGTGGATGTACCTCATGAGACAAACGTCCCCCCTGCCAAAGCCGCCTGTAAAAATACCGACCCGCCGGCGGCGGAGCATAAGACGGCGGCCGTGATTGGGCGGAAAATGGGGGCCCGTGCATCACTTCCTGTTCTGGCGAAAGGGGAGGGAGCTCCCACGCGGCCGCCTCGTGGCGAGGGATCGCTTCCGGGAACAGCCCCCAAGGTGGGGCGGAAGGCTTCGCCTCCCTCTCGCGCCAGGGGGCGCTCAGGAGCTCTCTACTCCTCCGCAGACCAAGTTGAGCGGAGCGCAATTCGCGGCGCAACGCTGGGAAAGAACCCTGCGACTCCTTATCGAGCGGCCTATCCTCTTGGCATCTAGGCTCCTTGGTCTCATCATTGTCTAAGCCTTCCTCGTTCTCGGAGTCAGACGACTCCGAGGCCTGAGCCCCGTCTTCCTCCTTTATATCTTTGTCTCCTTTGACGGACCCTTCCTGGGAGCTCCCTGACTGGGCCTGTTCGAATGCCCTACGCACTTTAATGAGCTCTTGAGAACCTTCCCTGCAACCACCCTCGCTCTTCAAGCATGCATATATCATTTCCCACAGTGGCCGAGCGAAGACCGAAGCCCCGCCCTCCCTTTCCGCTAGAGAAAGATCCCTGCCCAACTTCTCCCACGAGGGCAGGTTTAAGTGCCCTGTGGGCAAGAACCAGGGAGCGAAACTATCAATCTCCTCAAAAAAGCTCTCCAGCGTTTTGCGTCCCACCTTGAGGTCTCTGGACTTTAAGAGCTTCCGGAGGACCTGTACCAAGGGCTGGGTGTCGTTACTCGGTACGTTACCATATTTAATATGTTACTCACCACGTGAGGCCCAAAAATCCGCCACTTACGCGTGAGCCTGAGGGGAGTCTAAAAACCCTGTAGGTGCGCGCCACCCAGGGCCCAGGTTTATCCCCTACTCACCTGTCTCGCAGTGCTGTATCAAGGAACGTTGTCCACTACCACGTTTCGGGGGTGATCAGTTGTTCCCCGTGCGGGCCACCAAATGTCGATGTCGCTCCCGGCCGGCAGGAAGGACACACGACAAAGTCTGGCAGTGGACAACCTTTTCTTTTATTTTCTCTCCGTACAGCCTGCCCTGGGATCGCTCCCAGCCGAAGCCTCCTCTGGTCCGCTCCCCGCGGCTCCTTCCGTGCTTCGCTCCGAAGCCTCTACCGGTCCGCTCTCCGCGGCTCCTTCCGGGCTTCTACTTCCCCCCAGGGGTGGCACCAGTATATATACGGATACAGTGTCCAATCATGTTAAAGTAAGCAAGGCAAGCTGATTGGCTAACATATTATTGAGCGGGTTGTTTACGCGGTAAGTAGGAAACTAACGTGCTCGATGGGAGGGGTAATCTAACTCAGGCTTTACTCTTTACCACAGGCCGCATGATCGCTATATGCGGCGGCTCGGCAATGTGGTGGCTCCCAACACAAATCTCTCTCTCAAAATTAATGGAGAAGTAAGATGCTTCCAAGACAAGGAGGAACTGTGGGAGTTCGTGGCCACCAATCCAACCCTACAGAGAGTGCTGAAGGACATTACAGAGAAAGAGAGGAAGAGATACCAGGATTCCAGCAACAGTGGCAGAGAGGCCTCAGTGAACAGGGCAGACAGTGGAATGAGGGAATAAGGTGGACAAATTATAGCAGAAAAGTGGAGTAGCAGACATGAGGCAGAGACAGTAAGCTATAGTCTTTAGTATAGACAGCTCTGAAACTCTATAAAAAAAAGGCAGAGGTCATTGTTAATGGTGTATAAGGATTTAAAAGACACAGTAGTCTTATTGCCATATTTAGTTTGAATTTAATTTGTACTGGTCTGTCCACTCATGTCAGATTTGAGGGCACAGACATCTTGACCCAAAAATAGCAGGTTATACCATGGTAACTATCCTTACTTTCCTATTAACTTAAACTGAAATCCTGCAATACTTACATTGTCTTACTATGACTGATCTTAATTGAATCTTAATCATAAGACTATGGGGTGGCCTTGGCTGTTTTTATTTGAAATTGGTATGCTTGTTAGTATCAACCCCAAAAGTAGAGGCAACTAATCTGAGGATGACAAGATGTAAAGGATATCCATACTGGTATTAATTAGTAACAGCTCTCAAGTCCTACAATGCTGTCAAAGTTAAGTTTTTATAAAAATAGGTGATACTATATTTAACTATAATAAGCCAGTGTTGTGGTCAAATCTATTGAAAATAACAAGAGAAAACATAGTAACTATGGAAGATCATCTATATTGTGGTCTTATATGTCTTATCCATTGCATGTTTTGCTAGGAAATTGCTTTGCTGTCTTGCTATGACTTGGTATTCCCTATAATACAGAGAGGATAGATATATATGTAGAAATTCACACATGGATTTTTTTAAAAATTATTTACGGGAACAGATTATATAATACAAGATGTAATGAACAGATACTCTGAGGAAGAGACGCTAAGAAACCCGAGGCTAATTTTGTAGCATTATGATATAAATTCTAGCAATACTATTGTTCGCTGATTAGAATGACATTGGACTGGTTTCTTGAGTTCAATTTCAGCATATGTAGAGATGGGGATGGCTATCACATAGAGAATGAGAGATGCGATGGTAGTTACTATTGTCTTCCCTAATTTGGAACTTGAGGACCTAAAAAGCCTCCAATGATTTGATTAGTTCTATAATATGCAATAAGTATATAATGTGGGTGAAGATGGGGACAACTATTTGTAAGAAACTAGAGACAGTTGTATAGACAATGAAGATCTCCAGTGGACTTGCTTCGAAATCTGTATTTCTTTAAATTGTTTTTTTAACTGCTTTGTTCTGTTTTGATATGTTTAATCTTACCCTCTTTGAGATGTAAAACAAATGTGTAGGACTAATAACCATATTACTGAGCTTTTGTTCAATCATAGAGCACAACGGTTTGTAGTGTCACTTTATGAATGTCATTCTAAATACTTTAATTCTATAACATGAACAGCTATTTCTAAGATGACAATATGTAACTTATTAACCAGCAATTTCTTACTGTTTGTTTTTCTGTAAGTTTGTATTATTTCTACCCTTTTTTTTATCTCCATGTATTTTTTGTTTCCTTTTCTTTAAATAAAAAAAAAAATAATGCAACAAGGTTGTCTGAAATTAAAAGAAGGTATGTAGTGTGTCTTAAGGGCGGAGCCAGGGAAATGACTACTGGACAATAAAGGGAAACCCTAGAAAGAAGAAAATTTTCAAAAAGGAATTCCCAAATTCTTCATATAAACTTAATCAAAGGTTAGGGCTGACACCTAAATCACACATACTTATGTAAAAATGAAAGCAGCTTAAATGTCAATTTATAATCTCAACACTCAGGAGACTAAGGCAGGAGGAGTACAAATTCAAAGTCAGCATTGACTACAGGGAAACTCAAGGCCCTGTCTCAAAAAAACCTAAGTTAATAGTCCACTAAACTAAATAAAAACAGAGAAACTCTTCAGGCCAGTATGATGGATTCTAGAGTCTTTACAACATATTATTCACAAAGCCTAAGATACAATACCAAATTATTCAACAGAAAAATATGACCCAGTCTCTTTCTCTTTGCTCCCCCCTTTCTCTCCTCCTCCTCCTCTCTCTCTCTTTCTCTCCTCCTCCTCCCCTTCTCTCTCTTTCTCTCCTCCTCCCCTTCTCTTTCTCTCCTCCTCCCCCTCTCTTTCTCTCCTCCTCCCCTTCTCTTTCTCTCCTCCTCCCCTTCTCTCTCTTTCTCTCCTCCTCCTCCCCCTCTCTCTCTTTCTCTCCTCCTCCTCCCCTCTCTCTCTTTCTCTCCTCCTCCTCCCACTCTCTCTCTTTCTCTCCTCCTCCTCCCCTCTCTCTCTCTTTCATCCTCCTCTCCCTTCCCTCCTCTCCTCCTCCTCCTTCCCTCCGCCTCCTCCTTCCCTCCTTCCCCTCCTCCTCCTTACCTCCCCCTCCTCCCTGGGACTAGCCCAGGCAGGTCATTTTCATGCCTGGGCTAGTTCCAGGCTCATGGGAATGACAGAGAAAAACAATCTCAACTGTGCATGGCACTTCAAGCCTTTGCTTGACCATCAACCAAATCAAGTTCATGTATGAACCTTAAGGCACAAGATGGTAACATACAACGACACTGTCACATAGCAAGATGTAGATGTATTGCCCAATTGCTGAAAGGGAGTGAAGAACTAAAACAACATGAGGCCACAAAATGAGACCCTGACAAAAATCTATTACATTCTTAGCTTCATTTCCTGCTAACAGTAAAATAGTTTCCATATTATAGAGTAGTTGAGAGAAAATTGAACAAGTTAACATACATATTGATGGGGTTTAGGGCATTCTACCCCAAAATATGACTAGCAGACCAGAACATGTCACCCCAAGTAGGCCTCTTTAGGAAAGGATTATTCTGAGCTGATTATTTTAGGAAACAGTAGACACAGAAGTTGTTCTGAAAAAAGGGAAAGTACCCATTTGTAAGAGAAATTTCCCTCCACAGAGGAAATTCTTTGTTTGGAGTGGATTCTATTTCTGTAATAGAAAGAGGATGACTAAATGACAAGAAACTCAACCAATAGAGAAGTCATCAGCTTATATATACATAGTAAAACTTGCTTTGACTTATTTATTTACTTACGACCTTAGGAAAAGTTAGGACTATTGTAACCGAATCCTCCCCACATACCTTCCACTGTGTTAGTAGATGGCATTTGAGACACATCTTAAACAGTGACTCTTCCCTGGAAATCTTCCACGTATAGATGAGGTATATACAGTACTAATTTATTTTTCTTTTTCTCTTGTTAATCTGTTTTTTTAAACAGTCTTTCTTAACTAAGAACTCAGACAGTATACAGGGAAAATTGACTTTTACCTACCTTACAATATAAAAAATATACTTCATCTACCTTTGTGTTCTTAGGAATTCAAAGGTTTCACTGCTCCTTATCCTGCCCAAAAACACCCTACTAAGGGAATCCTACAAAGGGACACAGTTTAAGTGAAGATATCAAGACTCAGAGAAGTAAAGTGACTTGCCCAGGGTCACACGTTTGTTAAGTGGGGAAGCATACCAATGAACTTCAGGAAAATCTACACCAAGTACGGCACTTGGCACACTGAGTACTTAAGGCTGAAGGAAACTTGGAAATCCACAAAAGCGGAAAAGTGTCTCTAACTTTCTCTGATCTTCTCCTTCCCCTAAAGATGGCCTGACCTATCTCTCCAAAAGTAGGCCTTAAAAACATTCCAATGGGATCTTGCCCTATACAGATCCCTATACCAGGAGGCCCAGAGAAATATGAACAAATAGGTCCTGCTAACGCTCCCCATCCTAGTTTATTACCACTAGATCATATGCCTCTTTATCTAATCATACTTTTATATGGTTGTCCTTTCTGCATTGAATCTAAGCATAAAAACACACCACTTTCACGGCTGTGGGTTAGCTCAGCTGTGCAAGTGCCTACCTAGCAAGCGTGAGGTTGTAAGTTTGATTGCTGGTATCAAAAACAAACCAAAAAACAAACAAAAAACCCACCCCACACTTTCCCTGGATCATTTGGTTTTCATTTCTAAAGATTTCTGTAACACATAAATTTTTGGTTAGATAAATTCATCAGTTTTCACTCATTTTAAGCTGTTGCTATTAGGGTGTCATAAACCTTGCAATGGGTAAGGAAAAGACGTTATTTGGTCTCCTTTACAATGCCCAACTCTCTCCAAAGCTCACATTTCTCCTCTACACATTTTAGGATGAAGTCACAAGCGATGCAGTTGTAGAGCATGCATTGAAAATTAAATTGTTTCAGTCCAAACCGTTAACATTTTTGAATGTAATACAGAGGAGTCTGAGAATTTTTCTCAATGAAATAAACATATTTACTATATTGCATATTGTTATCCTCTTAATAGATGCTCAGACTACTGGCCTTATGCATGCAAAGGAGCTTTGGAACCAGCAAAAATCTGGGTACATATTGAAGGAAAGGAAAACTACTATCCTTTTTTTCACCCATTGCCAGGTTCATAGCTGAGACCCTTATAACAAAAGAGATTAACAAGAGAAGAGCATATAAATGTATTTAACATAAACTTTATATGACACAGGAGAGTTGAGAAATGAAAACCCAAAGATCCAGGGGAAATTGTTCCTTTATGGACAGGCACACAAAAGTTTGACAGGAGGACAGAAAGGTATGTTCTAATGGTAATAAATTAAGGTGGAACAAGACATTGAGAGGCTTAACAGGGCCAGTATGCTCACTTTCTTCGACCTGTAGATATGACTCCTCTGAAATAAGGATTTTATGACATACTCATAGGAGAGGTAGGTCAGAAAATGCTTGTATGGTTATGATTCAATGGAGATAGCCAGAAAAAGCTCAGGTAATGAATTTTCTGCTCTCAATTTCCTTCTGCTTAAAATATTCAGTATGCTAATGTGCTACATTTTAGGGATAGCATGTTTTCTATCTCAGCAAACACCATATTCCAATAATCAGTGCTATATAGTAAGTAACCTCCAAGACCTTATGGCCTAAAACAACCACCACTTACTATGTATTATATTTCATAGTTTTTGTGGGTCAGGAACTCAGGAAAGGATAGGTTAGTTCTGTTTTGGGATCTCATGATTACGGTCTCTCGCTCTCTCTCTCTCTCTCTCTCTCTCTCTCTCTCTCTCTCTCTTTCTCTCTCTCCTTAAGATAGCTACACTTCAAAGGCTTCCAGAGCAAGTATCTCAAAATGAACAGCAGAAAGCTATTTATTAGCTTCTAATCTAGCCTAATCTGTCTGTTGAGACAGTCTTAAAGGTACAAAGTCAAAGGATGACACTGCTGCACCTCTTTCTTTTCTTCTTTTTTTATTTTAAAGAGAATAAAACCAAACCAAACAAAACAGAATAAAGCTAATCAGAACAGAACAATGAAACTGATACAAGGCTACAAAACAAGATAATAGGAAACCAACAATGACTACCATAATGTTTCTTATTTTCTTCAAAATAATTGTCCATACCATCAGACATAATAAAATCAAACAAAACAGAATAAAAGCAATCAAAGCAAAAGAATTAAAGTATATTTTAAAGAGAATAAAACCAACGGAGATAGAACAGAACAAAGCCAATCAAAACAAAATAGTAAAAGTGATACAAGATTTCAAAATAGGATAATAGGAAATCAACAATGGCTACCATAATGCCTCTTGTTATCTTCAGAATTGCAGCCCTTACCATCAGACATAATAAAATCAAACAAAACAGAACAGAAAAAAAACAATCAAAACAGAATGTTGAATAAAATAAAATAATAGAACAGAACAAAATCAAATTGTGAGAACAATATTGGATTTCAGAAACAAGACAGCAGGAAACCCCTCATATTTGCTATACTACATGTTGTTATCCTCTTAATAAATGCTCAGACTACTGGCCTTAGGCCTGCAAAATCAATCAAACAATACAAGCATTTAGTTGTTTTTGTACTTCAGTTGCCACCAACTCAGCCTGGTCTTCTTCAGATGCACCTCCAGCCAGAATTCTGATGTCTTTAGTTTTTACTGACTTTCTTGAGAGTCCACTCTCTCTCTAATGGTATATTAACTTCTGTCTAACTTATCTGCCCATAATAGATGGATTGGAGACATCTAGGAAAGACCCAAGTTTCGAATTCAGGGCAAGACAGGATCTCAGTCCTCCCAGATGAGACACTGAAGAATAGTAACAGGAACTCAGAAGGTCCAAGTAGAATCCATGTTCTTTTAACTGAACTGTGTGGGTGAGTAAAAACAGGGCGTGGGAAATGGTTATAATTGTTATTTATTGAGTGTCCTTTATGTGGTAAAGGTGGTACTAGTTACCTGGGGGTAAGTTGTATAACCAGGATCACTGCTGGGACACTGCCTCCAGGGTCCAACTTTTAAAAGACCCCCAACTCTTCAGACTTGATCTGCTCAGCAAGGAGACACCTTGCAGAACGAAATCAGCAAGCCCAGCTGTGAGAGACCAGGATGAGAAGTGTGGAGAGGGAGGGGATGACTGTCATGGGCCTCACTTTGCAAGAACTGTGTCTCTGTAAAAGGATAACAACAAAATCTTTTCTGGTGTCCTTTTAAAATTATAATTACAACTCACTCTGGTGTTGTGAAAATGGAATCATTCTGGTGTCGATAAATGTAATAACCTCCAGCATCAAGATGGGTATAATTTAAACTTGATTTGCATCAATAGTACATTGCCTGTTGTCCTCAATTTGGATACAAACCAGTGTCAAAATTCAGCCAGTTTCCACATCTGGAGCTGCTGTATTCCAACATATCACTGTAAGTTTAAAGGCAGCCAGCTCCGTCTCCCCAGAGACTTTCCTTAATTCATAAGAAGCATGCCCACAAAATTTCAATGGATCCTGCTTCTGGCCTGTGGCTGGCTTCTCATGAAGGTAATGGAATAGGATTTTTTTAAATGAAGCAAAACAATGCCAAAGAACTCCAATCATCCCAATAGCTAGTGCAAGAATTGCTCTTAAAGAATTGCTTGGGTTAAATTGTTATACAGATTTAATGCAATCCCAATCAAAATAACACTAGCATACCTCATAGATCTAGAGAAATCACATCACTCCTAAAATTTATCTGGAACCAGAAGAGACCTAGAATAGCAAAGGCAATTCTAAGCAACAAAGGCAAGGCAGGAGGATCACAATCCCTGACTTGAAGTTATACTACAAAGCTACTGTAACAAAATCAGTGTAGTACTGGAATAAAAACAGACCTGAAGATCAATGGAATAGATTAGAAGATACAACTACAACTACAAACACACTCAGCCACCTTATCTTTGATAAAGGGGCCAAACACCTCCACTGGAAGAAAGATAGTCTCTTCAATAAATGGTGCTAGAAAAATTGGCTCTCCATATGCCAAAAACTAAAACTAGACCCATGCTTATCACTGTGTACTAAACTAAAGTCTAAATTGATCAGAGATCTAAATATTAAAACAGAAACACTAAATTTGTTGGAAGACAAAGTAGGTAGAAATCTTGAAGACATAGGGGTAGGTAGAGAATTCATGAACAGGAATCAAACCACACATGAAATACTTAACAGAACCAATAACTGGGATCATGTCCTATTAAAGAGTTTTTGCAGGTCAAAAGAAGTCTCCAGCATAGCCAAAAGAAAACCCACAAATGGGAAAAAATCTCAGTGAATGGTTCCTCAGAAAAAGGACTTCTGTCTAGAATATATAAACAATTTTTAAAAATCAGATCCCCCAAACTCAAAGACCCATTCCAAAAATGGGCATCTGAGATGAATACAGTTCTCACATGAAAAAACACAAATGGCAAATAAATACGGGGAAAAAATGTTCAGCATCGTTGGTCATTAGAGAAATGCAAAACAATACTGAGGTTCCATCTCACTCCAGAAAGAGTGGCCAGGGTCAAAAAAACCAACAACAGGGGCTGGGGATTTAGCTCAGCGGCATAAGCACCTGCCTTGCAAGCAGGCAGTCGTGAGTTCGATCCCTGGTACCGATGGAAAGGAAAAAGACAAAAAAAGAAAAAAAAACAACAACAACAAATGCTGGAGAGGCTGTGGGGAAAAAGGAACTCTCCTGCACTGTTGGTGGGAGTGTAGACTGGTGCAACCATTGTGGAGGTCAGCCTGGAGATTTCTCAAAAAGCTGGAATTGGAAGTCCCATTTGACCCAGCTATTCTACTTCTGGCTATATTGCCAGAAGAACTGAAAACATCATACCTCAGTGATATATGTGCACCCATGTTTATAGCAGCATAATTTGTAATAGCTAGATCTTGGAAACAACCTAAGTGTCCATCAACTGAGGAATGGATTAAAAAAGTTGTGGTATTTTTATACAATGGAGTACTACTCTGCTATAAAGAATGATCACACTGAGATATTTATAAGTAAATGGATGCAATGCAAGACCATACTCATAAGTGAAATAAATCAAACTCACATGTGTAAATACTGTATAGACTCCCTAGTGTAAGAAACGGTAAAAGTATATAAGATACAAAAAAGTCAATAATTACAGTGAAAGGATAGAATCTGCTTAAGGGAGAAAAATAATATTTCAGGGAAAATGGGGAAAAAGAAGAAGTAAGGGAAAAGAAAAAATATCTAAAATTATATAAACACACAAGATAGCTAAGATGATTGCACTACAAATTCTATGAGTTCTTAGAGCAAAATAGTTAACATCCATAGGATTGTAACAGTTGTGCATACTGTTGTATGGTGATCTGATGAACTCTTGAAGATCATTATGTAAAATAATAACCCTAGTTACTACCTTGTTTTGAAGGCCTATATTGTCAGTGTTCTGGGCTCTTTGCTATTGTTGTTTTTACGTCTTTTTCATTTTGTGTTTTTCTAGGAATTTATTTTGTTTTGTCCTTGTTTGTTATGTTTTTCCCTCTAGTACAGAAAGGATAGGTATACATGTAGAGACTCATGCATGCGTAGAACTTCTAAAAAATGTATGCGAATCAATAATATAATGCATGATGAAATGAACAACTACTTTGAAGAAAGAGACACTATGGTACCCAGTGCTGATTCTGTAGCATCATGATGTGAAATCCAGCAATACTTTTATGCTTTGTTCAGAGTGATTTTAGTCTGTTTTGTTTTATTTAATTTCAACATACATGAAGGTATGGACAGCTATTTTGAAGAGAATGAGAGACACTATGGCAGCCATTGTTGACTTCCTTATTGTCTGGTCTTGAAGACCTAAAATGTCTTCCTTATTCTTCTCTGATCACTATTTTGTTTTGTATGTATCTTCATTGTATGCAAAGATATGGACAACTATCTGGAAGAAAACAAGAAACAATGTGATAGTGAAAATCTCGGGTTGTCTTGCTTTGAAATCTGTATCTTTTACATTGTTATCTTATGATCTGTTTTGTTCTGTTTAATTTTACCCTCTTTACAAATAAATAAATAAATTAATAAATAAATAAAAGAATTGTTTGGGTTTAGGACAATACTTGGAAAGCTACAAAAAAAAGAAAATTAAAAGAGTAAATATGAATCTTAGGGCATGGGTTAGGAGGAGGGAATAAAAAAGGGAAAGTGAAACTACTCTGCATACCAAGTAAACAGAAAAGCAGAGAAAGGAAAAGGCAGCTGGGGAACAAGAGAAAAGACCAGACCATATGACAAGAGATTGATCAACGGAAAGAAATCCCAATCTCCCTGAGGGTGATCAACACAGGCCAAAGCACATCCAAGACCAGGAATTCTGGATTGTTTGTATTGCTGCAGTATACACCACCAAAATTTTCAGAGAAGTCTGGTAAACCCCTCAGTCCTTGCTGGCAGTATGGTAAGAAATAAAGGGTCAGGGTAGTAGAGAGAAGTGTGCCCTACCCCACTTTCATCCCTCACAGTGAACCTGGGTCATTTCTCTGTCTTCCCACCACTTGACCCTAAAGGGCACATTTGTCTCCGGGGCTTCTCTCAAACCTGACCATAGAAATTGTTCTGAGAGGTGGACACAGGGCCCGCACAGGAGGAAGGAACTCACTCTTTACTGCAGTTGGCTGAGCTAGAATTATGAAAGACTCAACCTGAGGCTTGTCTCTTTCCTCCACCTCCAAAGGAAGAAAGTCCATCCTCAGGAAAAGAAAATTGGACAACACCTAGAAGGAACAGAGAGGAAAAACAGAGTGTAATAAATCCTTGGAGACACAGTGGAATACTATTCTGCTATAAAGAAATGAGATCCTGTCATTTGAAGCAAAATGGAATGGAACTGGAAGACATTATGCTAAGTGAAGTGAGCCAGAAACAGAGAGAGACAAGTGTGGCAAGTTTTCTCTCAAATATGGAAACTCTAAATTAAAAAAAATTTGTAAGCCTGTGGCAAGCTCAAGGTCCTGAGTTCAATTCCTGATACCAAAAAAATTTAAATTTAAATTTTAAAAAAAGTCAGCTTAAATTAGAAAGTGATCACTGCAGACTGGGAAGGGAATGGGGAGGATGGATAAAGGAAGGCTGAATTTAATCAAGGATTATGCATATTGACATAGCAACTGAAATCCATATTGTACATATTATGTACAATGAATTTTGTTAACTCAAATTTTAAAAAAAGAAAGAAAACCTTGAAGACATCATTTAAACTCTAGATTAATCCAGACCTCCTTAGGTTTGGAACTTCTGTCACTTTCCAATTACATGAGTCGTTATATTTCTTTTCTTTTCTCTCCTCTCCCCTCTCCTCTCTCCTCTTTCCCCTCTCCCCCCCCTCTTCCCTCTCCTCCCTCCCCTCTACCCCCTCCTTCCTCCCTCTTTCTTCTCTCCTCTCTCCTCTCTGCAATTTTAGCAGTACCTGGGAGTTGAAGCCAGGGCCTTGCACATGCTAGGCAAGTGCTGTACCACTGAGCTGCACCTCCAGCCCTACATTTCCTTTTTTATTAAGCCTATTTCCATTAGATCTATGTCACTTGCAGCTAAAAATGTATTAACCACAGATGCTTAGGTAGGTAGGAGAATTTTCCCTCCCTCCTTTCTTCTTCCTCTGTCTCTCCCCCTCCGTCTCTCTTTCTCTTTCTGTCTCTCTCCTTCTCTTTCTCTTTTTTTCTCTCTCTCCCATGAACTCCATACAAATTCCACTCTTCCCAAATGCAACAGAAATCCTCCTCAGTACAATAGTTCTCTTCCTGTCCTTTGAAAGATAGCCCAGGTGGGAAGGGAGAACCGACTATGACCTGAAACCGAAGAATCTGGAAATCCTGGTTTGTTGTGGTTGTATTGTGTTGTGTTTTGCTCTGTACTTGAAACTGAACTCAGTGCCTTGATACTAAGGCACAGCCCCAACCTATTTGTTTGTTTGTTTGCTTGCTTGCTTGAGACAGGGTCTTGAGAAGTCACTAAATTGCTCAGGCTGGGCTTGAACTTGCAATCTTCCTGCTAGAATTACTGGTATGCTCCATTATGCACAGCTGAAATGCTGTTCCTTTCACCTCCCGATGCGAAGAGAATAAGAGTTTGGGGTAACAGACAGGAAACAAGGTGTCCTGATGTTTTTCATTTAGGTTGAAGAGGTTGTGAGGAACCTGAAATGAGAGGAGCCTGTGGTTAGCTTAGTAACTGTGGTGCATCCATGCACACAATCTAGCAATGAGAAAGGAATCCTGGGTAAGCACAGTGTGAATAAATGTCACAGACACAGTTTAGAAAAAAGTCAGGCCCAAGCAGTATATACAATCCTGTCCATTTATGTGACATTCAAGAACAATCTAAACTGGTACAGATGCCAAACAGTAGTTACCTTTCAGAGATGGATAACCACCAATCACCATGAGGGAACAGGGGAAAGGCTCTGGGAGCTGAAAAGACTGGACAGGGGCTATGGTTGCACAAGTACAGCCGTGTTTAAAAACTCTTTGAGCTGAAACCTTTGTACATTTCAGTCTATGAAAGTTATATTTCAATGAGCTTTTAAATAAGCAGTGAAAAGTTGGAAGACCGAGACAGTGGCAATTTCAAGCTTCTCTCTTGGGAACTGTGTGCCCGCCTGGTAGGAACCAAGAAGCTATTAATGCGGAAGAGGCTAATGTGGCCAGCACTGACCACCCTGCTGCTCCCTAGCATGGCAACTCTTTAGTCATGAAGCAGGTCTTGGAGAGGAGGTAGAGAAGTGTCCCTATGTATAGAGGGGCCTTCTCTCTTTTGTTTTGTTTGTTCTGTTTTTCAGTGGTGGTGGTGGTGGCAGTGCTAGGTTTTGAACCCGGGGCCTCATTCTTGCTAGGCAAATACTCTCACCCAGCCATGACTCTAGCTCTGATTCTACCCTCTTAGGGACACACATAGGTTACTAGATCCTTATGTTTGCAAATGCAGGACAAGTTGTTCTTAAGAGTGACTTTGAGTAACAGAGTACTATTAGAAGGTAGGTCCCAGGGGCTGGGAATTTAGCTCAGTGGCACAAGTGCCTGCCTGGCAAGCACAAGGTCATGAGTTCAAGCCCCAGCACCAAAAAAAGAAAAAAAAAAAAAAAAAGGTAGGTCCTCATGCTTTATTCTCTGGTAGGAAATTAAAAGATCTTTTCCTGTTATTATTTCCTCTCCCCTCCCCTCATTGGCACAAACTGTCTTCCATGTGTACCTCCTCATCCTCTCTGGGAAGAGATGAGGCAGGCAGAGAACTATGAGTCTTTGGCTTGTGTCCTAAAAACTTAAGTGTGCAGCAGGACATATTCAGAGTCTTCACCAGAATGATCAAGGGGAGCATACATCTTTCAAGCCATAAAGAGCCTCCCAGTTTGGGCTGGAGGGAAGCAGGTGCTTTGTATGTAGCCCAGCAGGAAGGGAGCCAGGGAGGCATGGAGACCCAGAAAGGAACAACTGAAGGTCAAGTTTCCGTGACCTTTCCTAAGTGTGACCTCAGACTATCAGGAAACCACCAGACCCTCAGGCTACTCCAAGTCTGGGGAAGATGGCTCAGCAAGAACCTGTGGGGATGAATAGTCATTGACTCCCAAATACCTAGACATGACCCAGAAACACTGAGGTTAAAGTTCCCCCAGCAGGCCAGCAACACAGCAGGAATATATATACCAAACTAAGCTACAGGAGTAGTTTTATTCTCTGTAGTCTTGCATTTGTACACTTGTTGCAACCATAGATTGTGATTGTAGATTCCTATTACAACTCTATCTACTACTATATCACTTGAATCTTTGATAATGTTCTGAATCTTTTTAATTTGAATGTTTTTTACCTGAATCTTGTACATGTTTGTGTTTTCCTTGCATAATTGTCATTAGTGTTTTTGTTGCCCGGTGTTACTGGCTAGAGACACACAGGCAGGCAGGTATCAGCTGAGAGCATTTCCTGTGGCTTCCCTGTGACCCTGCTCTGGCCACAGACTCCTTTGAACCAAGCCTGAGGCTGAACCACAGCAGGATGATTGCCTTCCTCCCCACTGGGCTCAGATAGCAGCTGTGGTTGCAGGTTGCAGGACTATCTGGGTTCCCGCCCACCTCCTTTCTTGTCTTACCACAGAGTTCCTGTCAGCTTCTCGGGTCAAGCTTCAGAAATCCCCCACTGGGTGACAAGTTGTGAGTTTGCTGAGTCGTGCCTGTTTACTTCTCGCATTATGGGATGAGGGTGCTGTCCACTCAGTCCTGCCCTGGCACCCTGGAATGGAAACCCGGAGTCGCAGAAGTGTCTCCATTTCCTCTTTTCCAGCCAGGGTTCTCCTTGTCACTTTCTAAGAAGCATCAGCATTTTTGTTTATTTCTGACTCAGGAACCCTGTCACACAGCCCAGTATACAGGAGCAAGAGGAGGGGCAGCTGGAAATGATAAAAGGAAACCAATACCCACTAGGTCTGATTTCTTACTGCATTATTGATTCACTTAGCAGTCATGCTATTCTGCTTTGCTAAGCCTAGTTTCCTTGTTTGAGACCCGAGGATAAAACTATTACCCAACACTCAATGTGAGGATTAACTAACAACAAATGCTGGAGAGGAGGTGGGCAAAAGGGAACTCGCCTGCACTGTTGGTGGGAGTTTAGACTGGTGCAACCACTGTGGAGGTCAGTCTGGAGATTCCTCAAAAAGCTGGGATTGGAAGTCCCATTTGACCCAGCTATTCTGCTTCTAGGCATATTCCCAGAAGAACTGAAAACATCATACTACAGTGATGTATGTGCACCCATGTTTATAGCAGCATAATTTGTAATAGCCAGATCTTGGAAATAACCTAAGTGTCCAAAAAAAAGTTGTGGCATTTTTATACAATGGAGTACTACTCAGCTATAAAGAATGATCACATTGAGATATTTATAAATAAATGGATGCAACTTGAGACCATACTCATAAGTGAAATAAATCAAACTCACATGTGTAAATACTGTATAGTCTCCCTAGCGTAAGAAATGGTAAGAGTACATAAAAGTTTATGGTAATCATGATTCCCCATTACATTGCTTTGAAGCCTTACGTTTCATTAGTTGGAATGGTTTTATCGTGGGTTGTTTGATTTTATTATCTGTGATGGTATGAACAGCTATTTTGAAGAAAACAAGAGATTATAATAGCCAGTGCTGATTTAATATCATCTTGTTTTGAAGTCCTACCATACTTTTGTTCTTCTGTTTCCATTGGTTCTACCATGTTGTATCTTACTGGATTTTACTATGTGTGGTAGTATAAACAAATTTTTATGGACAATGAGATAATATAGTAACCATTGTTCAGTTTCTGTTATATGGTTCTGAATGCCCTGTCATACTTTCATTCTCTTTAATGGTTTTACATTATTTTATTATGTTGCTTAAATTGTTCTGATCTGCTTTGTTATGTCCTCTTTTATCTTAATATCTTTAAAATTAAAAAAATTTAAATGTGCGGATTAATACAATACCTTATGAGGCACTGCCTGATGTGGTAGAGATGAGGGGAGCGGGCTGGGATGGGGAGGGGCTACTTCAAGGAGCTACTGCAAGAGGATCTCCATCTCAGAGGATCTGAGGTTCCTGGATCTTTGCTAGTCTGAGGCTGGGAAGAAGCTCCATGGGAATTGTCCCTCCAATGTCTACTTGAGCCTGCAGAGCACAACTACTCCCATGTACTGAGCATCTCCTACAAGCCAGCGCTATGTATAATGATCACATCTCTTCTTCCCAGGCACCTGTGCTCTGTGGAAAGCCAGCCTATTGCACAGTAAGGAGCCGGTCCAGCAAGAGCACAGCAACGTGAGCTTTCACAGCTTAAAATAGCACAGGCCAGAGCATGATGCAGAGTTCCTGCAGTTCTGACATCTGTGCAGTCTCCACTTCACAATAGCATCAGTCAGAGGAGATAACAATCTACCCTTCCTCCTCACATTTTTCTCTGGGAGGAAGGTGTGTATTTTCAGTGTCAAAATATGATTCTAAAAGCCCACTTCCCCTGTGATGATGGCTCAGTGAAGGTACTGGACAGAAAGGGGGCCCTGCAGATTGCCTGGGGTCATTCTGTCTCAGGGGCAAAAGAAGTTGAGCTTGAGATGGAGCTCCCAAGGAGCTAAGCAGGCATTGTGACACATACCTGTAATCCTAGCACGCAAGTGGCTGAGGCAGAAAGATCACTGTGAGTTAGTTTGAGGCCAACCTGAACACACTACCCTGTGAGATTCTGTTAGAGACAGGACAGAGACAGAGACAGACAGAAAAAGAGAGAGACAGAGACAAAGAGAGACAGCGAGAGAATGCATATAAGAAGAAAGATGAGTTTGTGCTGATTTTTAGGTCCACACATTGTAGCATTTCTGTTTGCCCCCTTGTTTCACTCACTTACTGTTTCTTAAAGATTGATCTAAACCGCATGTAGGGAGTTTCCTTCTCCTTTTTAGCACTAATGAACTTTCTTTTACATGGAAAAGTGCCAGAATTATTTCATCAGTTCCTCACTGATGGACAATTAGGCTATCTCCAATCCTTGTCACTATAAACCATGAATATCTTATGTAGATTAACTTGTACATTTGTGAATATACCTATAAGATAAAACCCTACAAGTAGAATAGCTAAGGCTTGTTGAATATAATATGTGCTTTTAAAAATGTAATAAATCATGTTAAGCTCCATAGAGTTTGCACTGATGTGTAGCCCACCAACAGGGAAAGGCAGCCAAGGGAGTGCTGCTGCTATGAAGAAAATACCTTTAGCAGGAAGACATCAGCTGAGGGTGACAGGCAGGCCTATGCCTGGCTCAGAAATTCAGCCTAGGAAAAGTGATGTCGGCACCACCACTGGCCCAGGCCCTGAAAGTAAGCCACCCTTTTCAGAGGAGAAGACGGAAGCTCAGAGAGGTGGCAGGAGCAAGAGCCTCACTCAGGGGCATGATCTGGAATCCTACAAGCCTTGAGCTAACTCCTCCAAACAGTATGTACTTCTTCCTCTGACCTCCAGCTGTGTTCAGTCTCCTGTGCTGGCTTGACCACAACTGGGAGAACCTAGCCAAGAACAGAGGCAGTAAGCTGAAACAGTTAGGTCTCCCACATGGTTCAGAGCCTCCCCTGGTCCGTCTTTCCCATTTACAGGGCCAGCCTCACCTTGTTGCTGTTTACAGCCCTCATGAGGCCCACAAAGCACTTCTGTGAGGTTCAGAGCAGAGATTGCCCCGCACATTGTCTTCCAGCCTAAGGAACAGAAATGCTCAACAAATCCTCTCCAGGGTCACTAATGGATGGTAGGCAGTGAAGATGTGAGAGAACTGAGAGAAACACATGAACCATGAGGCTATCAAGAGCACTCTGGAAATGGAATAAATCGTGGCAGAACAGTTCTTTAACTTTGTGCTTGGAAGGCACTTTCACATGCTTTCACTCATTTTACCTCCACAATAGCTCTCTGAGTTATACAAGTCAGGGATTCTCATGTTCCCTTGTGATGGTTACTCTCAACTGTCAATCTCATTGGCTTGAGAGGCACCTAGGAGATCAGTGGAACACACATTTGGATGTGTCTGGGTGGGATTTGGAGGCATGACCATGGAGAAAATATCTGGTGCTTAGCCCCTGCCTTCCTCTCTGGCTGTCTCTGTGCTTCCTGGCTGCCACGAGGTAAGCAAACTTCCTCTGCTGTTCCCTTCCACCACGATGTTTCAGCCTTTGATCCACATGACCTATAAAGCAGTCAGCCAAAGCAAACCTCTCCTCCCTTTTTTCTCCCAAGTAAAGTCCGGATTGAACAGGGGCACTTTACTATTGAACGACATCCCTAATCCTTCTTAACTTTTACAAAGATCTCATTAAGTTGCCCAGGAAGGACTTGAACTTGTGATCCTGCTGCTTCAGTACCTCTAAGTACTGAGATTACAGGTATGCAGCACTGTGCTTGGCTTTCTTTCCTCCTTTATTAGTTGTATATGCCAGGAGTTTTGTCTCAGCAATGGCAAAGTTACTAATATATTCATTCTTCCCATTTTGAAAATAAAGATAAGGACCATGACACCCACTGCCAAGAAAAGCCAAGAACAGAGGCAGACCCAGGTTTTCTGTTGCCTAATTGACCACAGTTTGTTTTATATGGTGATAAGCAAACTCTGGGTGGTATAAGATGCTCACAAAAACTATCTCTTAGCTATCCACCTCTAGAATGATGTGGCATGAGTTAGCAATGTTTGTCTGGACCCTTCAGCATATTCGTATGAATTCCTTTCCCTATACTTTATTTTTGCTTCAGTTCCACAGATGAGTCCTTTTTGAGAGAGTCTTGAAATGTTTCCCATTAACAGCTTTGCACTATTTCTGAGTGCTTTTCATGGCTTCTGGAACATAATGGGTACTTAACAACGGTATGCTTTTGGTTGGCTCGAAGAATGAGTTAATAGATGGACAGATGAATTAATAGATGGATAGATGGGAGAGTTACCAGGTAGGTGGAGTATTGGTTGGTTGGTTGGTTGATTGGCTGGCTACTTTCATTTCTATTTTTTCACATGATGTCCAGTCTCTGCTTTCAATATTACTGTGCCATCTTATGGTGACATTACCCACACACACAGTTCTTTTCAGGATATATATTATCAGTGGTCCTGCAAATCAGGTGCCATATCTTCTCCCAGCCAAGAAGCAAGCAAGTAAAACAAGCTTAGCTGATCTCTCTCTCTCTCTCCCTCCCCCAGGATTGTGAGTTCTTGATAGAGTGTCATACATTCAAAAATGAGCCAGAGTATATCTATTTAAACAGTGGTACCCTGATGGTACTGTCGAGTCGTACCTGCTGCACCAACACCCAGAGAGTTTTTAGTTTCTCTTCCATCCTTTTGCCAGGCCAGGTCTACAATGCTGTATCTATTTGATGAATATCCAACATTATCCCCAGTTCACCAGCTTCTCAACTGAGTTAGCAAATGTTTTCTCTGCTTAGGAAGAAAGAATTTTAATGGATAGAAAGTGTAAAGGTGAATGAGAGGTTGACTGACACAGTGGGTGGGGGGAGGGCTAAAAAAGTAAAGGGTGTGTGCCGGGTCACTCATGGAAGCTGCTCATGAGCTAAGAGGTGAATCACAGGACTTGGGAGATGAGAGAAAAAGAGGCATGATGACTCCTCAGCCTTACTTTTAAGTGTTGTGCAAACCAATTTTAAAAGCAACAAGACACCTACTATCAAGTCATTCTCTACTACAGTAAAAATCATTTACTTTT